AATCACACAATATTCCAGATCACATTGATTCCTACTGAAATGACTGAATTTCGCTCGCGAAATTTAATCAAACAATGGTATATATGACCGCAACTTTAATGTGATTATGAATGTGATATTTCAGTTCTATAAACTATAAACTGAAATCAAGTATTGTACATTTTAGACAAAAAGTGCTCAGTTAGTTTGTGTATTTCTTCACCGCCAAAGAAGCTTAAAGGGATAGTTCACCCAAAAATGAAAATTCTGTCATCATTTGCTCACCCTCATGAGTTTGTTTCTTCTGCTGAACACCAAAGAAGATATTTTGAAGAATGTTAGTAACCAAACAGTTGCTGGCAGCCACTGACTTCCATAGTGTGGAGAAAAGAAGAAGAAGAAAAAAACATTAAAGTGAATGGCTACCAGCAGCTGTTTGGTTACCAACATTCTTCAAAATATCTTCTTAGGTGTTCAGCAGAAAAAAAAACTCATACAGGTTTTGAAAAACATGAGGTTAGTAAATGATGACAATTTTCAATTTTTTGGTTGAACGATTCCTTTAACGTGCCATTCCAGTGACGCAAAACCTAAGATATATTGAGTGGAGCAAAAATAAATAAATAAATAAATTAACACCTCACTACACTCTAAAAAATGCTGGGTTAAATATAACCCAGCGCTGGGTTAAAAAGGCTGGGTTTGTCCCTTTTTAACCCAGCATTTTTTAGAGTGTACCGAAAGCATTCTTTAATTACTCAACTCCAGCTCCAGTCCATTATTTCTACTTCCCGGTGACGCTCGCCGGTGAGAGAAACCCACTCAAAGTGATCACTGACCAAGAGAAAACACAGACAGCTATAGTTTTCCACCTTTATTTAAAATGAAAATATACAATGTTCTCTTAACCCTGCACAATTTTATAACAAAACATAAATCACAAATGGATTACGCAGGAAATACTGATTCAAAGACGCATTCTTTCTGAAACGCTTTCTAAAACACATGATTTCGATTTGAGCTCTAACAATGTTAACCAGGGACAATAAGAGGCACAAACAAGGTTTTCCATTACATTACACATTCTACCCATAATAGAATATTATTACTTTTAAGTGTAGTGTAAGCAACATCAGAGGGCATGCAAGATGTTGAGAGTACAGTACTACAGTGCAAGGTAGAATAGTTACCAGAGCAAGACCCGAACCTGAAACCTAGGACCAGCATCCCTCACCCGAAACACAATGACGTTTATACTTCACAAAAACTCATCACACTGGTTCCTTTCGGGATTAAACAACTGAATTACATGAAATCAGATCTGCTGACTAACATAAATGTAATCACATAAGGAGTAAAAAAGCACATCGAAGGAGGTGATGGCTGAAATCTTTCTTTCTGAGCATGCTGTGGTATATCCTTATCTACGTTGACCTATAGTACCAATTATTATGATGCACAACATTGAACATTACGCTTTCCAACAGCTCTGATTTACTTTTTTTTACTACAGTAACTCTAGACAGATTACAGCCTGATCCTAATTTTCACGATTCCCTTGCCAAGAATTCCATTTCAAAATCTGAAATATAATCCGATCCAAAATGCTAGATAATCTAAACCAGTCCAATCTCTCCTGTTGTCATCTAGAACTACTGAGCATGACTATCATTCTAAGATTGTCCTTTAAAAAAAAAAAATGGAAGTATGTACTTGATATTTGCAGTGATTACAGACTGTATCTTCAAAATCAAAAAGTACACAAACAGTTGAATAATATCGTTATTGCAATGAGAAGACTAGCAAAATTCACAAATACAAAGATATAGGAGACATGTAAACATTGATTTGGTACAATTTATGCAAGGCAACAAATTTCAATTTTGAATGTCTTGTTTTGTTCTGAAGATGTTGAGTCCCAATGAGTTAATCTATACAGCAGGACTACAGCAGACGAACCTTTTCCCTGAGAAATAGAAACTGAACCAAGATCAGTGGTTAGAGGAACTTCAGATTTCCCTCTTTGAGGAAGTGAAACGGATTAAAGCTATAATAATCCAAAAGGCAAACAATCACAAAAGTGGTTCACGCACTTAATTTCCCTTTTCAAGAACTCAACATCCATGTGGAACTCTAATATCTGTAAGCTGAGGTTTTTGAGTGTGTGTGTGCCCCACTACAGTTCTCAGAAACACAAGTACAGTGCAGAAGTGGATTTGTAAAGGTTCCCTTTTCCAGAAAAGAGAGCGAGGGATGGTATCATGCGGAAAAAGAAAAGTAAAAATGACTGTTGTGTACATAAACACAAACTGGTACTTCTGGTTTCATTTTTGTCAGTAAAAATTGGCTTTGCTATGTTTAAAGCTCACTTTAGTTTGTTCTAGATTAATAGACATTACATTATTGTGCCTTGGAAGGCAGCTTGAAACCTCAGACAGTCTGTTTCCATTTTACACAAAATCAAAACACTTTTTAGTAAGTCACTGACTGTCTGGGCAGCCCGACTGGCATAGGTTTTGGAAAGCCAACGTTTTAAAATACTAAGTATTATACACTCTACAACATGCAGTGTTCCATACGGAACATGAGTTGGTTAATCAATTGCGTTGTCTTGTCTCGTCTCCGTGGAAACTAGAGACTGTATGAGAATGAACTCTCAGTCGGTCTTGTGCAGCAGGCGGAAATCTGCTGAACTTCTCGTTACGTAAATCAATGAATATGACCTATTAGACTGATTTCCATTAACCCTTGCTCTTGATTTAAAAGATTTTCAGAAGAAAAAGCTGTAATGTGTGAACCAAAGCATCATTCAGGAAGGCAATTAAATTGCGTGAAGGAAGGTCTAAAAGGAAGTTCCTAAAGGAAGGTCTGTCATTTGCACACGTAATGGCTTTCGGTGTTTCATATCTACTGTTACCATTCAGACTCTCTGACAAATTAAAATCAAATCTAGGCCACCTCGAAAATGTTTAATTTACAGTTGAGTCTGCATGTGTTAAAACCATAGACTGTATAAAAACATGGACGTAGTGTCCGTGACGTCACCCGTAGATTTCTGAAGAGCGTTTTTGAAGCTCAAAATTGGGCGGAGGCGGCCGTCGCCATCTTGGCAGCGCATCACCGTACAGTTTAAGTCACTTCCTTGTTGGCTTCATGAGAGAGAGCGGGAGGTTGTCGCTTGGTAAAACCATGTTAAAATGCCCAACTTTACAGCAGAAAAAAACATGTTTACAGCCTGGTTCAAAAAATGATTTTGGTCTATATAGCTAATTTTCATTATATAGCTAACTTCATGACAACTGTGAGGGGGGTGAATTTTTTTATAACTCATCCGTTTAAATTATATTAAGCCTTAAAGTTCTGCATAATTAAGGGCGTGGCCACTTGAGTGACAGGTGGATTGCCGATGCAGTGACCACCGTCGAGCTAGGTGGGCGTGGCTTCAGCAACCTGCTCCCACCTCTTTGCCCATTTTCGATTATCCGGGAGTGACGCGCTGCCAAGATGGCGACGGCCGCCTCCGCCCACTTTTGAGCTTCAAAAACGCTCTTCGGAAATCTATGGGTGACGTCACGGACACTACGTCCATGTTTTTATACAGTCTATGGTTAAAACACACCGTCGCTGCTGTTGATTTATTTTTTATTATTAAAGGAATAGTCCACCCAAAAATTAAGATGTAGATAAGTTTGTTTCTTCATTGGAACAGATTTGGAGTAATATAGCATTGCATCACTTGTTCACCAATGAATCCTCTGCAGTGAATGGGTGCCGTCAGAATGAGCTGATTTATCAGCTGATAAAAACATCACAGTAATCCACACCACTCCAGTAGTCCAGTCCATCAATTAATGCCTTGTAAAGCAAAAAGCTACGTGTTTATAAGAAACAAATCCATCATTAAGGCGTTTTAACTTTATACTTTTGCTTCTGGCCAAAATATGAGTCCATAATTCGTAATAACGGTTCCTCCAGTGAAAAAGCCCATCCCCTGTTGTCCTTTCACATCAAAATCTACCGTTATATTTGTTTAGAATTGTTTTTGACTGTTTTCTATTATAAATGGTGCTTAAAACAGTGCATAGTTAGCTTTATTATGGGTTATGGACTTTAGCTGGAAGCAACAATTCTGAGGTCAAAACATTTTAATGATGGATTTGTTTCTTACAAACACACAGCTTTTTACTTCACAAGACGTTAATTGATGGACTGGAGTCGTGTGGATTATTGTGATGTTTTTATCAGCTGTTTGGACTCTCATTCTGACGGCACCCATTCACTGCAGAGGATTGGTGAGCAAGTTATGCAATGCTAAATTTCTCCAAATCTGTTCTGTTTGTCTGAAGAAACAAACGCATCTACATTTTGGGTGGCCTGAGAGCGAGTAAACTTTCAGCAAGTTTTTATTTTTGGGTGAACTACTCCTTGAAACCTTATGTAAATGAACAGGGTGAGCTCACCTGTGGACGGGTGTGATGATGGCGCAGCTGACGGACTCCAGCCTCCGTTGGAGTCTTCCGAATCTAAGCAATCAAAACTGGGTCTGGACACAGGCATCCGTTTCTGGCGTGGCTGAGATTGGGCCTTGTTTACTCTGCAGAGCACATACACAAACATGAACACAAATGCATGCAAACACAAACACACACACACACACAGGCTGCACACAGCTAAACCATCTATCAGGAGAAAGAGGCTGAAAATATTTAACCAAAAAATGTTGTATATTATATATAGAACACTTGAGGTATAGTGCAGAGGCCATATGGACTTCTTTAATAATGTTGTTGCAATGCTTTTGCATTCTATTTGTAGCTTGAAAGCTTTAGTCCCCGTTCAATGTAACCGCATAGAAAAAAAATGACCATGAACATGAATCAAAATTTCTCCTTTGTGTTCCAGAGAAGAATGTCACATGGGTTTGGAATGACATGACGAATATTTATTTATGTGATGTGACAAAGATACAACAGATCTTCATCTCTAACCTTTCTCTCATTCTCTGTGCCAGCTCCTCCAGGACCTCCACAGACTGTCTGTGAAATTGCAGCTGTGATTCGACCAAAGCTGTGAGCTGACTCACCTGCTCCACCTACAAACACACACACACACACACACACACACACACAACACACAACACACAACCATGCACATGCAGAGCATCAAAAGATGTTATTGCCTTAGAATAATGGGCTATATCTGTAAGCTTCCTCTTCTATGCTTCACTGATTTTGCATCTCTATTTCTGTTACTTCACGAGAACTTCAACTTTCAGGAAACCCATCTCAATAACCAAATGTATTTTTCCTACAGCATTGGTAAACAATCTTGTTTTTAGCATAAACCTCACTAAATTTGTATTTATGAAATGACAAACGGGACACTCTACGCACCTGTGGCTTTGCAACAAGGTTATTATAGAAATTAAAACTAAAACTAAACTAGATTCAAGTTTTGTTACTTGAAATAAAAATGTTAACTGAAATAATTGTTTTTTTAATTCAGCTAGCTGCCAAGTCAACGTTTTATTTGACTAAATAACTAAAAATTTTACTGAAATTAATAGAAACTATATAGACACATTGTATCAAAAAAACTAAAACTATTAAAAATGACAAAAACCCACAACAAAATGACTAAAACTTTAAAATGATAATGGAAAAATAAAAACGGATTCAAAAAAATAATAAAAGCTACAATGATATTAAAACAGCACTGCTTTCCACAGCATAAACATCACAACACAATGTTAAAACTAACATTGCATCAATAAATTAAAACTACAGCTTAACCCTTTGAGGAGTCATACTGAAGAGTTTAAAGTACAGCTGTATGCAAAGATGTTCAAATATGCTCCTGAAAACAGCTGGAAGGAGCTTTACATTCAAATCATAAATCATAACACTGAGTTTTATAAAATACAAATTTTTTTTTAAATGCACATGATGTATGACTCTTTTGTCGCTTCTTCGACAATGAACATTCCTATGTTGACCCAAAAGAGTCATACGTCAGTTTAAATGTCATACATCATGCGCATTTGTTAAGATGCAATATGCAAAATACAATAAATATTATAATATTTATGAAAATTCGTGGTACAGTCATACCATGTTACTTTGATATATACCACTGAACTGATCGACTATTACTGTATACATGGCAAATTGAGGAACTTTTTGTCATCGTACATTAATAACCATGTTTAATTACAGGCCTGTGTTTAAGACCAACGTAGCAAATAATCAGAAACATCCCGAAGTTTTCACAGTCTCTGGCCTGCAGTCCAGTGTCGATAAAACAGACTGATAAATGTGTTGGCTCAGCAGACAGTCTGGAAAATATCCAGTACTCACTGATGTGGATCACTGTAGCAACAGTACAATTATATGACTCTCCCTGGTCCCGGACCATAAAAACTTTCCAATAGGGGGTCATTTAATTAGAATTTTAGTGCTGTTCGCTCAGGCAAGCATCACTGTTACTATTACTCATTACTTTAAGCAAACTGAAAGAATCCAAGCAACCAATAGTATAATTTATTGTATTTTGTAATTGTCATTTTATTTTTGATCGTTTTGATATTTTCAAGTCCTCTCCCATGTCTCGGCCGTATTTGAGCATACACTCTCCCAGAAGGCCTTCTGCCTGAGGGTAACCTGGGCTCTTCACCTGCCCCCGCATTTTAGACATGGTGTTCACCATGGTCAGCCTCGCTCTTGATGCTGCAGTACAAGACAAACAGACGGACAGATGAATAAACAGAAATATACACTGCAAAAAATCATATTTTCTTCTTGTTATATTTTAGTTTTAATTCGAATTTTAGTGCTGTTCGCTCAGGCAAGCATCACTGTTACTATTACTCATTACTTTAAGCAACCTGAAAGAATCTAAGCAACCAATAGTATAATTTACTGTATTTTGTATTGTATTTTGATATTTTCAAGGTTTGTAACGCTTTCCAAAATGAAAAGACAACGTTTCAAATCGTAGTTTGCATATGGCTTTTAAAACACATCTGCACCTCGACATTTTCATTGTTGTTTTGACAGACGCTTTTTACAAAAGCGATTTGTGACAAAGTCTGATTACCATTAAAAAACAGCTAATAATAAACCACATCCTCAGTGTTAAGAATGCCACCAAAGCTCGAGATCCATATATACTGTACCTTTCAGCATTTTAAAAAGGAGGTGATCAGAGACTGCCTCCAACAGGCTGAATTGAGCTTACGTCAGTATCCAGAAGGTTCTGCATGCTGGTTTCAGCCACTTCTTTGGACTCTTCGAACTTCTCTGCTGCTTGCCTGAGCTCCTCATCCGGAACCTTCCCCTGACGTTTCTTCTTGTAGTCGTAATCCAGTCGACGGCCCTCCAGTTTCTTCAGATAGTGCTGAGGACGAATCAGAGCATATTATTATTAACAGCCCATGATTACAATATGAAACAAATGCTCATGCATTTAGCCCACGACTCATACATATTTAATGAATAAACTTTGATTTGATTTTAGAGTGCAATTGATTGCAGTTTTCCACCTGTATGTCTTTCAGCTCCTTGTCGACTATAGTTTGGAAAGGGTCGATGAAGTTCTGTTTGACGTCAATGTCTAGAGAGTCTTTTACTTCTGCCAGTCTCTTCATGGCCTCTCCCATCTCCACTAAAGCGCCACCTATGGATCCGACGAGGAACATGCACAAAAATGTTATGTTAAAGGCAGAGTAAGTGATTTTTCAAAAACACTTTAGAAAATCTGAAAGAAGAAAGTCATATACACCTAGGATGACTTGAGGGTGAGTAATTTGTGGGCTAATTTTCATTTTTGGGTGAACTAACCTTTTAACATTATATTTTAAAGACACCATCACAAAACATAAAAAAAACAGCAAATTATAAAGCCTTTGTTTATCATTTATTACAAACAATTATCTGAACATTAATTAATTTTGTAACTGCATTTCAGTCTGTGCTAAGTGGAAATGGAAATAGTTTATATCCTATACAATTATTTGCTAGTTAATTTTTTTGGCCAGTCATTCACAGCTTTGTGTTTGTGTAGAGGATGTTTTTAGTTAATTTTACAGTTTTTCTTACAAGAACTACATCACACTGTCAACAGACGCGGCTCACTAATCACTCATCTACAGCTCTCACTGACAAAGAAGTGAGACAGACCTGAAACAATCAGCACCGGTCACACCTACAAAAACAACAGCCATTCAAGAAGCGGACTGATACCAAGTTAAAGGAATATTCCAGGCTGTTTACAACATAAGCTCAACAGACCGTGGCTTGCTGTGGTTTACCACAGAAAATAATGCAAATAATGCATTTAAACCAGAAATGTAAAACTTGTATTAATGCTAAAGCTCTTACAGGAATTAAGCAGTAGAAATGTGAGTTATGAGCTCTGAAGTTGTTTGAGAAGTCATTTTGAGGTGGGGCTACTTCTCTAGGTGGACGAACTTCCGGTTATGCATAGGCTAACTGATGCACTTTGGGTGGAAGTGGTGTTAACCACAAAAGACTTGTGATTTTGCAGGATAAAATGGGTAATAATGGGCATTAGTTCACCCCAAAATGAAAATTAGCCCACAAATTACTCACCCTCAAGTCATCCAAGGTGTATATGACTTTCTTCTTTCAGACGAATC